CTCTCTCTCTCTCTCTCTCTCTCTCTCTCTCTCTCTCTCTCTCTCTCTCTCTCTCTCTCTCTCTACCAAGTACTGACCTGCGAAAGGTGGTGCCTTGATGCAGGTGCGGACGGGCTGAAGACGAAGCTGGAGCAATGGCCACGCAGGTAAGTCTCACGTAAGTCCTCAGGCCGCCATCACCAGATTCACCATCGCTGCCTCCCTGCCTCCCTGCGCTACCCTACTCTATCAACGCCCAGCGGTGGAGACTATTCCTATCGTCGACTACTACTGCCCTGCTGTGGTCCGAAGTATGCCTCCTCGATCCTCTACTCAATCCCCGGACTGAGGCCGGACCCAGCTATATATAGCGCTGGGTCGGCCTCAGTGGCTGAGTCCTGGCGCCCAAACTGAGGCTGAGCCTCGAAAGTTTGGCGCCCAAACTGAGGCTGGGCCTCCAGCGCCTACCGAAACGGCGCGACCTCAAAGTCAGGGTCTGGCGCCAAAACGAGCGCCAAGGCCTGTACCCGAAACGAGGCCTACAGGGCCCCTAACCGGTACCGGTCCTACTCAGGCCCCTGCTTGCGACACCTGGCTGTTGGCATCGCTGAAGCGGGGGCAGTGGTGGTGGGGCGGCGGGGAGGCAGGGGGACGGTGGTGGTGTGTTCCGGATGGGGGCAGACGGATGTGTAACAATGGCTCCTGACACATGCCATGACAGGGAATCCACAGACATGGCACGCGTCAGGGGTCCCAAGTCCAAGGTAGGGCTGGTGCATGGTGGGGGGCAGGAGGCAGATTGTCAGAATCACCAGTTGGCAGATTGTCAGAACCACCAATCTTGTAGGAATCGTCAGATTTGTCTGCAGATTGTCAGAATTGACTGACAAGCTGCAGATTGGCAGAATTGCCTGACAATCTGCAGATTGAAAGAGTCACCAACCTTCTCAGAATTGTCAGAATCGTTAGAATTAACCCCTCTACACTAAAAAAAAAACGACCTGCCATTGTCAATCCCTCTAATGCTTGTCAAAAAAAAAAAAAAAAAAAAAAAAAAAAATTAAAAAAAGCCTCTGTAATGAACCTAGTCTGGAAGGAAACTCGTCAATGTCGAAATACAAGATAGCTCAGCGAATGACTTGTGAAGCTCCAGCACTCAACCTACAGGAGATATATTGACAGAGAGAGGATGGGGGGCCCCTAAGGGGTCTCGTTTCTTCAGTTCTCGAATATGGCAGCCGGTTCCACACATACCCAGGGTGCTGGCCCTGCCGTCAACAGGGAAAGGAGGGGCTTCAAGACATTCGAGGGTTCAGAGTCGATAAGGAAAGGAACAGGGAACCTGTGGCGCAAGATGGTAGGACCAGAAAGGCTATGCAAAGGAGGGAGGTGACGACAACAAAACTGAGACTATAGTCTCAGAAGGATAGACAACTCTCCCAGTTTTCTTGTTGCATTGAGTCATATTTGACAGACCCAGAATGAGGTCTGAGAGGAAAACCAGGGCAGGGCAAGCTGACAGTCAATCCTCCAAAAGGAGCAAKCAATGCTGGTCAGGGGTCCTTCGGCATTTCGGAAGGAAGCGTGTGTCTGTAATTATGATGTATTATTTTTTTGACTTGCCGGTGGAATAGGAACCGGACTGATGCTCCCCAGAATGGAAAAGGAGCCGGGGCCATAAGGTCCTGTTAAAAAAAAAAAAAGAAAAAAAAAAAAAAGAAAGATATCAGGTTAGATTCACACCAGCAGGAGTATTACTCACTCAAATGATGTTCGTGCCCAAGTGAACCAGGAACTGGTATGGACCTGGAATAGCAGTAATCCATGGAGGAAGTCGGTGTGTGAGAAGGTATGGATGCCGAGGAGCAAGAGTACATCGTTTAGTGGCAACGACTATGTAGTCCGGGGCATTTCATTCAGCAGCAGTCATGCTGCCGCCCGCTCCGCCCTGAGGAAGTGTGAGGCGGAGCACTTTCGTGAGGAAGGAGAAGCTGAGTGTGGTAAGAAAGAAGACCTCCATGGCTATGGATGATCAGTAGTAGTAGAAGAAGGACAGAGAGAAGAACCTCAAGAAAGTAGTCCAGTTCGCAGTCCGGGGATGCACATTGCACATGCCAGTAATAGTTAGCGTCTCCAGCAGAGAAAGCGGTACTTAACCAGCAGCTATGGGCTTGCCTGCAAACAAGTGGGTCGGAGGGTAGTAGAGGTAGAGCACGAAGGAGGAGGAGGGAACCGACAAGAGAGACTTACCTTTGGCTATC